GAGACCCCCCAGACCGAGGTTCGCTGGATGTCCGAGAGCGGCGTCATCGACGCCTTCCTGCTGCTGGGACCGACTCCGGCCGATGTCACCGGACAGTACAGCCGGCTGACCGGTACGGGGGATACTGGGAATACTGGGATGGGACTGGGAATACTGGGGATACTGGGGAAACTGGGGAAACTGGGACCGACTCCGGCCGATGTCACCGGACGTACAGCCGGCTGACCGGTACTGGGATACTGGGGATACTGGGGATACTGGGAATACTGGGAATACTGGGACAGAGTCCGGCCGATGTGACCGGACAGTACACGAGACTGACCGGTACTGGGATACTGGGGGTACTGGGGGTACTGGGATGGACCGAGTCCGGCCGATGTCACCGGACAGTACAGCCGGCTGACCGGTACTGGGGATACTGGGAATACTGGGAATACTGGGAATAGTGGGACCGACTCCGGCCGATGTCACCGGACAGTACATGAGACTGACCGGTATGGGGGGACTGGGAATATTGGGGATACTGGGATGGATCCAATCCGGCCAATGTGACCGGACAGTACACGAGACTGACCGGTACAGGGGATACTGGGGGTACTGGGATGGACTGAGTCCGGCCGATGTCACCGGACAGTACACGAGACTGACCGGTACTGGGATACTGGGGGTACTGGGGGTACTGGGGATACTGGGAATACTGGGAATACTGGGACAGAGTCCGGCCGATGTCACCGGACAGTACACGAGACTGACGGGGAACTGGGGATACTGGGAATACTGGGACAGAGTCCGGCCAATGTGACTGGACAGTACACGAGACTGACCGGTATGGGGATACTGGGAATACTGGGGATACTGGGGATACTGGGAATACTGGGAATACTGGGACAGAGTCCGGCCGATGTGACCGGACAGTACACGAGACTGACCGGTACGGGGATACTGGGGATACTGGGAATACTGGGATGGGACTGGACAGTACACGAGACTGACCGGTACAGGGATACTGGGGATACTGGGAATACTGGGATGGGACTGGACAGTACACGAGACTGACCGGTATGGGGAACTGGGGATACTGGGGATACTGGGAATACTGGGACAGAGTCCGGCCGATGTGACTGGACAGTACACGAGACTGACCGGTACGGGGATACTGGGGATACTGGGAATACTGGGGATACTGGGAATACTGGGATGGGACCGGACAGTACACGAGACTGACCGCTACGGGGATACTGGGAATACTGGGGATACTGGGGATACTGGGAATACTGGGACAGAGTCCGGCCGATGTCACCGGACAGTACACGAGACTGACCGGTACGGGGAACTGGGGATACTGGGAATACTGGAATGGGACCGAATTTGGCCGACGTCACAGGGATTTTCACGGGGATTTTTACGATGATTTTCCCTATTTTTAGGGCAATTTT